TTTTACATATACACACATTACACATATATCATACATGCAATGGTCAGATACTGTGGACAATACCCACAGGAGCAAGTTCAGGTGAAGTGTCTTGCCCAAGGACACACTGGCTTTACAGACGCAGCAGCGGCGGGTTTCACCCCTTGATCTGATGATCATTGCACAGCGCACTGCGCCACACCGTCCATCTTCACGCCTCGAGGTCATCGAGGCGCTTTTACAGGTACACATTGGTATTATACATGTACTGTGGATAATACCCACAGGAGCAAATCCGGGTGAAGTGTCTTGCCCAAGGACACAACGGCCTGACGCAGTGGCGGCAGGAGCAGGTTTCGAACTGGAGTTCCCCAGCACCCCTTGATCTGATGATCGGATGCACAGACCACTGCGCCACCCGTCCCACTAAGACACACAAAATGAATGCAAAGAGACAGACAACCACTTATAGACACAAAACATTCAAAAAGACTTTAAGGAGACACAAAGCTACAAATGGCGCTTTTTCACTGCATATAAATATGTTATTTTTTGTGTCCCTCCAAGCTCCATCTTCCCCAAGAGGTCAAACTATTCCTGTGTTTAATAGTAACTTTAAGTAGCATGAACTAACGCTTTCCCCTCCTCTACTGTTTACATCCGACTAACTATCACGTGAGTAACAAAGTGATTTGGTTGATAAAGTCATCCCTGATGTCAGAGCCCTGCTGCGGCGTGTTATGGAAAAAACAAAGAAGTGTTGAGTTTGCCTTCAGCCAAGTTAAGCTGCTGAATAACGTCATGGCTGACTTCATCCTCGCTGTGTTTTTGGAGGGCTTTCACTCTCACATAGCGAGATTATCCTTTCTCCCACAACACTTTCCCTCCACATGTGCGTAAGATTTTAATAATCACGGCAATATGACATTTTAAACATCCCATACTTTCGTGTGCCAAGGAGGTTATGTTTGTTATGGTGTTTCAGCAGGAACACATATTGGCCTGATTTTAATAAAACTTGGTGTGTTTTGTTGTTGATGGTCCCTTTTCTACCTTCTATCATTACAGATAAACAAGTGATCACTTATAGAGGTGTTCTGTAGTAGAGGCAACCTTCAAATCCAAGGGTTCATTTTAAAGAGGCTATATAAAGTTTCTTTTCAGGTTTACTTGCATTAGGTATTTCTACGGAAACATGCTTCCATGCTTTATAGTAAAACAAATATACATTATTTTCCTCATACTGTCCGTCTGAATATACCTGTATTCACTTTCTGACTACAACGCTCCACATTGAGCGGTGCGGGGATGACCTATTTACCCGGAAGTAAACTGCTGGTTCCCTCGACAAAAAAGCAACGGGATTTCTCCATAGGATTTTGGAAAAGAACAGGGAAAACAAAGTTAGAGGAGTGTTTACGTGTTCGCCGTAATGACGTACAACGGCCTCGACAACTTCTGTAGTCCTATTCAGCCACGTTTTTCAGACACGTAAACTCTTCAGAAATCACCAGTGGGGTCACTGCTGATGGATTTAATGTGGTAGAACAAAACATAATCCGTCTCTTAAATGTGTTTCAACCACAGACCTTATTTCCGGATATTTTACAAGATCCTATGGAGAAATCCCATTAGCCGCTTTCGCATCAAGTACTTTGTCGTTCTTAGTGCTCAGCACTTAGTGCCCCCATTAGTACAGATTGCGTTCACACCGGAGTACTTTTCCCTGAGGGAAGATTACGCAAATGAAGCCGCTGACGTCACTTCTTCTTCTTCTGCTTTGGGTTTACTGGCAGGCCGCAAACCACTTCACTGCGTATACTGCCACCTGAAGTCCCCGGCCGGAAGTCCCCGGAGTTGGGGACTGGCTTCAGTAGAAGCTGCTGGGAGTCCCAGCAGCTTCTACTGAAGCCTTCAGAGTAAATCGCCAGAACGCCGACACCTCCTCATCTCCACCGCTCCCATGTTTTTTTTTGTGTTGCCATAAGTTATTCTCTCTCCGTTGGTGCGCGGGGCTAATGCTAATGCTAATAATGCTAATGCCAGCAAAACTCAACTCAACTCACAAAACTTTTCAGAGGCTTACGGGGCGTGGTTTGTAATTCGCCCAGCCAATCAGAACTTACTTTTTTCTCCCCAGGATAATCCCACCTCTCTAGCAGGCACTACAAAGGGGGTAAAAGTTCTCTGAACTAAGTTCTCTTTTTGGTGTGAACGCAAAATTCCAGGCACTATCGGAACTAAACGGGAAAAGTACGGGTAAAAGTACTCCGGTGTGAACGCGCCTATTGGCTCTGAGACGAGGGAACCGGTAGTGGTAAAATCATAGGGTAAAATGCTGACTCACTTCCGGGTTTTAGGACTCGTCACTGCACCACTCTAGGTGCCTGTATCTTTAAAAGCCCCTCCCCAAAATGTGTTTTGATTGACTGGCTGGAAAAATTGCCAAGTTGAAAGGGTGTAGCATTGACCAAAGAAATACTTATTACATTTTTAAAGAAATCTGAATCGCCGCACGGAAACAAATATTTCAGAGAAATTGTTAATCACTGGAAAAATGTCCATGAACACCGCTTAAGTCGAAACAACAACTTGGACACAGATATTATTTTATTTAAATACTCTGAGCAATACAAAATTACATATCTTATTTGAAACGTCGATGTTGTTCTCAATTTACAACTTAAAGCTTATGAACATACCGAAATCGAAAGAACTTCGGTACCACCGGAGAAACACTTGAATGCACCATTGGCCGGAAATGTTATCATTGGTTTGAGTAAATAACAAATAATGAGTTCATAAAGTATGTGTCATTGAATAGCTAATAAGATAACAATTATATGCAGTTTATATTCATTTACTATTTTTTAACACTTATATTTTGCACACGTTCTTGTATTTTGTATTGGCTCCTTTTAGGTATTTGTAAAAAATTCCCAACAGATTTCTTAAACCTTTCAAGTATTGTTAACTGTGTTTAAACATTATTTGGATTGAATTAAGAAAGTTGCAACCATCAATCATATATAGCTAACGCGCAAATAATGTTTAAATAGATACGCTAAACGGTATTTATCAACCGGATCCGAATCATGGAGGCCTTCGTGGAGATCTCCACTATTTAGATTTTCTAACAACATGCAAAACAGTTGTCTTGGCAACATGTTGAATGAATGAACACACCAACACATTTAAAATAATTGGATGATTTTAATCCCGTTTCCACACAGTATAGTTACATGAGTTCCAGTACAGTTGTCACGATCTGTCTTTGTGGTGTTTTGTCTTGTTTGGATCTGTCTGTGGTTCCCTGTCGTTAGTTTCCCTGGTGTGTCTGATTACCCGATTGTGTTCACCTGTGGCCACTGTGTTTTCTCTCTACGCTCTACCGTGACAGAACGAACCGACCTTCTGTCACGGTAGAGCGAAGGAAGCAGGACCCAAATGCAGATTAACCTGATATACCTTTATTTCAAGGATAATGAAAAATAGAACTAGGACAGACAGAACACTCACCGGTGAACACAGTCAACAACGAAAGACGAACCGACAAAGACAGACAGAAAAACCAGAACTTAAATACACACAAGACTAATCACACAAACAAGACACAGGTGAGGAGGGAGGAGAAAACACAGGGGCCACAGGTGAACACAATCGGGTAATCAGACACACCAGGGAAACTAACGACAGGGAACCACAGACAGATCCAAACAAGACAAAACACCACAAAGACAGATCGTGACAACAGTACAGTATATAACATGTGAAGTCAGTTGAAAGCAGATTACAAAACTCTTCATTACAAAAAGTCCTGATGCTAGAGGCTCTATATGATATGATAGGTCTATTTCTTTCAACACAAACACCCTTCAAGACAATATCTCAATCAGTCACACCCTGCATCCCACTGAGTGTTTTTATGACCGTGACAATCCAACCAAATGGCCTTCACCGCCATGTGACCTCCACTAAGAGAGGCTGGAGCCTGATTGGTGTTTTCCACCACCATGACCACAGCATCCAATTATCCAATTGTTGCTTGGAAGACTTTCACATGCTGCCAAATGACTTCCAGTTCCTGCAGCAACCAAAAGTCAAACCCCTTTCCAAAAGTCTCTGTGAGCCCAAATCCTCTGGAAGACTCACAAACAAACATCTTATAAACTAAGATGTATTATAATCAGTTCAACAAGGTTAGAAATGTGTATATCAAGATTTAAATTAGGCAAAGCTCTGTTGCACAATGCACTTTTGCTTACCCTAGTTAGCATAGATATATTTGCATGCCTTAAGTACTTTACCTATTATCTAACAAGCTAGCTATCTTAAAAGTCAGTTAGTTAGCTTAACATTATTCATGATGCTTGAATTTCATTAAAAAGAAACATGAAGAACATAAAACTCAATTTGGTTAAAGGGCCCATGTCATGCTTTTCTAGTTATCACCCGTCCCCTTGTGTTATGAAGGTTTTTCTGCATGTGAACGGTCTGCAGAGTCACAAACCCTCAAAGTACACCCTGTAGCGAGTAAAACTCTAACACAGAGAAGACCTGTCTATGCTGCCCCTGAACGCCTCGTTGGAGATTTATCTTTTTCCATTGTTTTCTTCTTGGGTATAGTGACGTATTTCGGGTATAGTGACGTAACATTACGTCCGCGGAGCCGTTACGTTTGGACCAATCCGCGGACTTCCTCACACACACACACTCGGCTGAGTTCAGCGAGACACCGTGGAACTCAGCCTGGGCACACACACAAACTCCCAGCCAGGCTGCGGGTGTGTGTGTGTTTTGGGCTGGGTTTCGCTGTGTCTCGCTGAACTCAGCCGAGTGTGTGTGTGTTTTGGGCTGGGTTTCGCCGTGTCTCGCTGTCTCGCAGACGGCCACTGGGCTCACAGGGAGGGGGGGGGCAGGAGCTCCAACAAGCCGTTTAGGACAGAGAGTGAATACACAGTACAGAGATGCTGTATGAGAAACCAATGTGAGTTTGGAACATTGAACAATATAAATCTATTCTAGTAGACCTCAACACTGGAAATATGATCAGTGGAAATGGCCATGACACGGGACCTTTAAGTCTGTCATTGACATGATTATTTTTGTCCAATCCATCTTTTTTTAAAACAGCAATTGTAAATACAAAACGGCTTCAAATCTAGGTTAAAAATGGACTGGATCACAATTTATATTGGAGTTTCGGGTTTTGGTGCGACATAATTCCTTTGTTTGTCTCTAGACATTTAACTAGTATGTGAGCAGTGATGTGTGCATGCCAGACTTAAAAACATGAGGATACAGGGTGTGTGGGCGATGCATTTAACAAAAGTAAACCATGAATGAAAATGTGAATCATATCAGTTATGCATAATGTCAGTATTATGTTTTTTGTTTAAATGTAAGAGTAAATATTGTGCTTTTATATAGTGAGGGGAAAGTTCTATAAATTCTCAAATTCGCAGTCAAAGTCTGTCATTCTGCACAGGATGTACTTCCACTGCCGATCCCTGAAACAAAAGACAAAAATCTGTCACTTCAACAATCGTAAAACTTTACTGGTTTTTCTTTGGTGTGCCAATACATTCTGGTCCCATCAGGCAAACTCCGGAGTCTTCCAATTGAGAGGATTTCAACAATTTCTGGATGGATTTCTGATCCAATCTGTGGCCTCATGGGATCAGAAGTTATTAGGAGATAAACAGATGTTGTGATCAAACCTCAGCACTCCACTGAAGGTGGACTCGGCTCCTCGGATGAAGAATCCATAACTGGGGACCACCATCTCGCCCTCCTCTCTGTACTGCTCAGGGACGTCACTGGTCTTCCTGTGGATGCAAATTAGCCGTGTGTGGCATGTTGAGTATCACAATGTGAAGCTTTAAAAGTACAGTTGGACTCATTGGGAAATATGATCATTTGGTTTTCTTGCCAAGATTAAAACAAGAAGATCGATAACATTCTCATATGCAAACAGTAAAATTGTGTCTTTGTGAAACATTTTTATAGTTTATAAGTAAAAGTTGTGTGAAATTATTTACGAATGTACAGCAACACGTGTCAAGATGAGCTTGTTAGGTGCATACAGTCTTTCAACACAAAACTACTCAGGGAGGTTTAGGCAACACAAAATATGGTATTGGTATTTCCCTGATGGCTCCCACAGGACTGTAGCTGACATCCTCGTGGATTCATCTTCTTATTACAGACACATGCATTTCCTAACATTCGGTCTATATGCTGTAAAATGTATTATCTCTTCGATTTACACACGGCATCTATTGCACATCTGTCCGTCCTGGGAGAGGGATCCCTCCTCTGTTGCTCTCCCTGAGGTTTCTCCCATGTTCCCTTTAAACTGTGGGGTTTCTCTGGAAGTGTTTCCTTGTACGATGTGAGGGTCTAAGGACAGAGGGTCTGAGGACAGAGGGTCTAAGGACAGAGGGTGTCGTATTGCCATACTGTCATTCTGTACAAACTGTGAAGTCCACTGAGACAAATGTAACATTGTGATATTGGGCTATATAAATAAACTTTGATTGATTGATTGATGGTATTTCTGGTTTAAATAACTATATGTGAAACACTTGGTTAAGTTTAAGACATCAAACCTAGTTAGGTAAACAAAAGATTGTGATTTGGTTTAAAAATAACTGGAGAAGTGCTATTAGTTAAGTTTTGAAGTCACGTGATAGTTAACAGTTAGGGCTTATGTACTAAAGCTACTCACGAACATGGGATGGTTCAGTTAGTCCTGCATTTTTTGGGTCCATCCAGACCACTCTGACCACTCTGACCTTAGTTCCTATGCAATATCTTTCCCTAATCTACTATTCAAATATGTGAATTAAACAATTGATTTAGTGTGTAAGTCATGCATGTATTGCTATGAATGGTATCGCAAAACAAAAGCCCTGCAGCTTCCTAATCAACATGTTGAATCCTGTTTATTTAATCCTTACTGAAATTGTAAAGTGCAAGTTAATTTATGTGCAGGACTATTTCTTGTCTTTGAGTTGTGACCTCTAAGAATTTGTACACAAAATAACCTCTGTCAAACCAAAGTATTTAAATAACACTAAAGTTTGTGTACACACATAAAGTGTATCTCTTTTATTTAGTTAGTTAGTGTCTGCTTCAGCTTCATAGGAGTCTGGTTTCGATCCTTTTCCCAAAGTATAGAAGTATCTTAGTGTACATGTCCTGTAACAAAGCCCTGTGAGTACGTACATGCAGGAGTAGGGGCAGCGGCGCTTGTAGTAGCAGCAGTAGAACTGCCACTCTCGGTCCAGAACGGATTCAAAGTACTTGCTTTGTACGCCGGCCACCAGCCCGTTACGAGTGCATGTGGAAGTCCTGCGAAGAAAAAGAGAGTCAATCAGGGCGGTTTTGGCGCAGTGGTTAGAGCGTTGGTCATAAGATCAAGGGGCTCCAGTTCGAATCCCGCCTCGGCCGCCACTGCGTCAGGCCGTTGTGTCCTTGGGCAAGACACTTTACCCGCATTTGCTCCTGTGGGTCCGCAGTAATGACTCTTACGTGTCTAATATGTGTAATGTGTAAAGCGCTTTGAGCACCTGTAAAAGCGCTCTAATAAAAAATGTAATGCATTATTATTATTATTACGTTAAAAAAAAACATACATTTCACTATATTGAACTAAGGGACAGTTTTATCCCACAGGCCATAAGTCTGTTACACACCTGAACTTTTGAAACAACATCAATAACATCTGTTTGCAACTTATATATATCATAATTCCAGTTACTTGTATATAGACTATTCTGCCCCATTTCTATTATATTCTATTTGATTTTATTTACTTGCACTATTCTCTGTTTTATTGTGTTGCCCTGTTGGAGGAGCCTGTGACTGTAGCTATGTACACATAAAAGCCTTGAACCTTGAACTATATTGACAATGAAAAGCACAGAATGTCAGTCTCTCTCCTTCAAGTACTTCCTCACTTCATTGAGCGGTGACACATTAGAGAGAAAAATGCATCTTTATTGTTTGAGGTTAATACTGGTTTGTTGACAGTTTTTTTGTTTATGACCCATATACTATGCTGTCACCACAACACAGCCAACGATACGAGGTTTGAGCAGAAGGAACTGCCCCACGTTTGTCATGGAAACATTCGTGTCCCTGCAGGGTGAAACTGCTGTAACTCAAACAGACAGAGTCGTAAAGAGAAAAAGGCGCGGCGGCAATAGAGAAATCATTGTTTGTCTTTCAATCTGAGGGCTGGGTGCAGTCGAGTTTACCTCCAAATGAATCTAAAGAACACCAAAGAAATAGCTCCCAAAACCTTGAAGAAGTTATCTGGAGCCGGTTACTGGTTTTGATTCAAGCTGCTGTTTAAAGGTCACCTATTATGCAAAATCCACTTTTCCACGTCTCTTCTTCATCAACATGTGTCCCCTCTTCTTCATGTCTCTTCTACATCAACATGTGTCCCCTCTTCTTCATGTCTCTTCTACATCAACATGTGTCCCCTCTTCTTCATGTCTCTTCTACATCAGCATGTGTCCCCTCTTCTTCATGTCTCTTCTACATCAACATGTGTCCCCTCTGTGGAAAGAGACTCTGAAAGTTTCAGGAACAAAGATTCTCTCTCTTTTTGATCCTTTTCTATAAAAACCTGTCTGAAAATGAGCTCATCAGATTTTGGCCACTTTATGACGTCATAACGATGTTTTGTCTTGTGTAACCATTAGCAACCAAGGTAACCCCCCCCCCCCCCCCCCCCCTTATCACCTGAATCTCCTCTAGAGCACCATTGAGTTCTTTGTAACCAAATGTCTCTCAGAGGGGCGTGGGGAGGGGCTCCTTATTTTCATCTAAAGTAACAGACAGAGAATCAGCACTTTGGAAACAGGGCTGAAACAGAGGGGATTATGGGTAATGCTGCAACGATCTGTTTGGTGTTTCAGCCAATCAGAGACAGGTTCTGTATACATCTGAGACCTGTGATATATTGATGAAAAACAGTAGGAGAGATGTCAGGATACAGTCCTTCCTCCAATGAAGCTTTTTCTCAAAGTTACGTAATTAGATCAAACATCCTGTGAAGTTCAAAGCCTGAGGAACATGTTTATGTGAGATTGTAACTCTCTCTCTAGTTTTTCTGAATGACCGGATCCAGGAAAAGTCTGCAACATGTTGTCCATAAAAGCATCACAATGTGAACTCTCTGAAGGCCCGTTGGCGATTGGCCTGTTTCACTGGAGGAGGAAGTCATGTCTTCCAGGAAGACACGCACACACTGCATATTGAATTGTGATGTTTACAGACCCGGGAGGACCAGGAGGAAACAATGGACAGAAAAATAACTTTTTATATCTGTAGCATCTCTAGTTGCACAGTTAAAATCACAGTTGTATAACATTTTGCTCTCTGCACAATCGAAGAACAATAATGCCAAATGAGCAATTATTAACAATAGTTTGACCATGTTAAGACACTGCTAACACCACTTGGTTTAAATGTATTTCTAGGGAGTAAAGTACAGCTGTCTCTTGCAAATAATGTTTCCAAACTACTAAAATACATTCTCCATTTCGTAGCAAAAAACTGAGCTAAACTACCTTGTTAGGTTCTGTGAGATATCATGGTTTGGCTCAAAAGCTGTTTTAGCCAACTTAAGTTACACATATAAAGTTTAACGTCACGTTAACGTAAGTAGGATTTGAGTTTTGGTAACTCTAAAGCCCACGTCACACTGTCCCAAAATTGACACCCGATGGACACACGAATATGGAATTGTGAACTTCGCACGAAGATGGCACCGAACCACACACGAAGGCAACATTTACATTACATTTAAAACATACAACTGCAACGAAAGTAACACAAACAATTATGTTACAGTACTATGATACAGTACTGATATCTTCAGACTTTGTTCTTTACTTTCTCCGTCTTTATATGTAGAAAATATTACGTTTTCTCCGTAATGTTGTTTCCATAACAACAACAACTTCCTGTCAACTGTCCTTCAAAATAATGTATTATATCCTTTCTAGTTTCACAGAACACAAATTGGGTTATTTACACAATATGTGTACATGATTTTGTTGTGCAATAAAAAACCCGATGGACACACGATAAAGGAAATGTTCAAATTCGGCTGTGATCGTAGCAACATCGGGCCATTCGTGAGGGCATCTTAAGCCATCGTATGACCGCGGGTGGAGTTTCTCAGGCTCCGGCAGCAACTTCGTGAGCGGTGGCAAAATCTTTGGCATGCCAAAAAATTGCAGAAAGACCTTGAGAAGGTTCATTTTCGTGTTGAATTTGTGTGTCAATTTTGCCCTTCGTAAGGCCATCGTGAGGGCATCTTGTTATCATCGGTGCCATCTGGCATTCGCCCCGATCAGAGTGAGGGCGAATGCACCGATGATAACACGAAGATGACACGATTTGACAAGATGCCCTCACGAGTGCCTTACGAAGTTGCCGCTCACGAAGTTGCTGCCGGAGCCTGAGAAACTCCACCGGCGGTCATACGATGGCTTAAGATGCCCTCACGAATGGCCCGATGTTGCTACGATCACAGCCGAATTTGAACATTTCCTTTATCGAGTGTCCATCGGGTGTCAATTTCGGGACAGTGTGACAGGGGCTTAACCCTCCACACATGAAGCCTTTAGACTTTGTTTAATGACTTATTTGTGAAAAATCAAAACCAAATGTGGGACAAAATTGTCGTCCTTCGAATTCACGTTGATTATAGATCATGCTGCATGTTTGATTTTGATAAACGTGACTCGTAGCATTGATGTTGATTTGAAGTAAGTTTGCACGAGGGATTGTTTCGAATGAACCAGTCAACCCACAAACAACCCGGTATCACGGCAAGACGTGAACATGTGACGATTTACCATGCTGGGAGACGTGAAGACAGTGACAGTTACACGGTATTGTTAACATGGCCCAACCAGTGGAGAAATACCCGGAAATGCCAAGCAAATGCTCTACCACGACAGTCGGTTGCTATTGTCGATATTAATATAATAATGATTTATTTTTTAATAGTCACACTCAATTTCACCGATTTTCTTGTTGCCCAGCTGGTCGACACCTCTCTGAGCAGAAACAAAGGCTACATTAATGTATTAAATCGATGTTAATCCATGCGTGTGGATGTGGAATTAATGGACGTGCCGTTGTGCGATTGCGTTGCCAGGCAACAACTTGGGTTCATGTTAATTTACAAACTCTTCAACGTCACTGTACCCAGGAAGAAAAAGAGAGATCTCCAACGAGGCGTTCTGGGGCAGCACAGACAGGTCTTCTCTGTGTTAGAGTTTTACTCGCTACAGGGTGTACTTTGAGGGTTTGTGACTCTGCAGACCGTTTACATGCAGAACAACCTTCAGAACACAAGGGGACGGGTGATAACCGGAAAAGCATGACATGGGACCTTTAAGACTCACCTGTAACAGTTTCAAAATCTTTTGTTAAGAAGACTAGAGATTTTAATGAGACACTTGAGCTTGCTTGTCTTTCATAAGCTTTGATTGTTCCGGGAGCAAAACACCAGGATTAATAACATTGATTTAAAAAAGTGTTTTCATGTTCTTTACTGCTTATCTTCTGTAAGTACTATTTTTTATTATGCATACATATTTTTTAGCAGTGGTTGAACTACTGCAGTTTAAAATGAGTATCCACTAGCGAACCAGTGGTCTTTACGAGACCAAAGACTTCCTCTGGTTACAATTTTTTTTAATGTTCCAGATAAAGACTGGAGATCTTCCACTCCAAAAACACGGGTGGTTTTGTTCATACAACAGTTTCAGAGTTAAACTCCACACAGACGCCTCGCATGGGCCCGTGTTGTCTGCTAATAGTGACCTTTAACAACCTGTTGTTGGTCAAAGTATGTCCAACTACACTGAGGTCTGTGAGTTTCTCCTCTTGGTAATTGGAACAATGTCGGACAAATGGTCCAAAGATGTGCCTCTGACGTGGTTTTTAACATTTTCAGACATGTTGATCTGATGAGCGAACAGCTGCTGAGCAGAGCAACAGAGTTTACCACAACACTCACTGTACACGTGTAATCTGGCTAATATGGTATCAGTGCATTTATGAATGATTGTAGTCGTATGTCATTCTCAAATGAGACACAAGTTGGCATTGTAAGTTTATGCAAACCACAGATGTGTTTAAATTCCTTCTCACTTCGGTTACATGGATTCCTTGCGTCCTTCACTTGTGTCGTTTCCCTGTGACTAGTCCCTCCCACCAGGGAAGCATGGAGAGGTGCAAGGAAACTACGAGAAGCAGGGAAATGAGTTTTAAGAGCAATGGGACGTCCTTTCCTCCCGAGCGTCACGTGAAGCGACGACCGTTTGTGATGACGCCGCACAGCTGATCGTCTGACAGCAGCTCTGTCCCCGTTGTTTCCACACCCCCCCCCGCCTCTGTCAGCACACATTTACTGACACAAACATTTGTATCATCTGTTGTAGACCCAAATACATTAAATAAAATAAGAACTCATTCTCAAAAAAGATAAACGCCATTCTTAAAATGTATTGAAAAAAGCGATCATGAAAATGTTTCCAATAAATGAAGAAAATTATTTTTGACCACTTTGTTGTTCAGATATATCACATATTTGTAACTAAATGAAACATGAATTGAAACAAAACACAGTATAAACTGAGGAGTGACTCCCGTGAGGTTCATGTATTTTCTTCACTCCGCTGGGAAACTGCTCTCATGTTAAGAAGCATCAGATCAGTGCATGCACTGCCTCGTCCAATCAGTGAGCGATACACAGAAAGGGGGCGGGGCGAGTGTCTGAGGATTTCATCGAAGGATGGTCTGGTGGTTCCTCGATTATAGCTCCTCCATTATCGCTCCTCGCTCCTCGGTCCTCCGGCAAAAATAAGGCCATTGGGACGCTACTCAAAATGGCGCAGACAAATCAACTTCCGGTGAGACCAAGACCGAGGAGCGAGGAAATGAAAAATAAGAGAAATGAGAAGGGCCCGTGGTTTAATGATGTTTGCAGAAATGGACAATGCCACAATCTTTGCACGATCATTCTGCATCATTAATATTCTGTATCTCAGCACTGATTAAATCCCCGATGACGAACACATTCTCCCTCCAAAATCAGCGCAAAAAGACGGGTTTGTTTACAAGAAAATTAGCCATAAACTCCTTTTGTTATTGCCAGTAAACACGTTTGGGTTTCAAGGTCACAAACACCCCGAAAACAGACTTAGTAAACAGTGATGTTCGTTTTCCCTTTTTTATATCTGTTTCATATTCAGTCTTTCTTTCAAGTATTTTTAAATGAAGTTTGCTTGACAATAACAAATAACATGTCTATCAGTGGAGTCTGGTGACTTTGAGCAGAGCATTAATTCTTTGTTTTGTACATCAATCAATTATAATAATTGTCTAAATCCCTGTTTGAGGGATTATTCACTGCACTAGTGTCACGAGGGACGGAAATGATCATCGTGTCCTCCGGGTGTTTCCGTGCTGAATTTGATAAATAAGACCCAGTCGTTTGTCCTGGGAATGAATGCTGATTGTAAACTTTCCCACTGACGACAAAAGCCAGATGTGATTGGGTGTTTTGGTCCAGCGGGAAAGGGGGCTCCAGTGTAATGTTTGCAGTAAGATAAACATGAGGAAGAACCCTGGACAGACATCCTGCAAGGAAAACCAAGGAAATTCAACTTGTTTGGATTCTTCAAAATCCAATCAGTCAAACTAACATGGTATTTTTAAGTTTGAATGTTCCCAAACTCTTATCTAGCTGATAAAGTCAACGACAGTAGAAAGCAGGTTTTCAATAAGTAACTAATTCCCCCACCACTCAATTCAACCATGGAAAACCAATGAAATCATGGTGGTCATCAAATCTGTCCAAATAACATGCTATTTAAAGTTATGAAAGTCAAACATTTCCAAAATTGGGATCAATAAATGATCCGTCTGTCTGTCTGTCTGTCTGTCTGTCTGTCTGTCTGCCTGTCTGTCTGCCTGTGTGTCTGTCTGTCTGTCTGCCTGTCTGTCTGTCTGTCTGTCTGTCTGCCTGTCTGTCTGTCTGTCTGTCTGTCTGTCTGTCTGTCTGCCTGTCTGTCTGTCTGTCTGTCTGTCTGTCTGTCTGCCTGCCTGTCTGTCTGCCTGCCTGTCTGTCTGTCTGTCTGTCTGTCTGCCTGCCTGTCTGTCTGTCTGTCTGTCTGCCTGCCTGTCTGCCTGTGTGTCTGTCTGTCTGTCTGCCTGTCTGTCTGTCTGTCTGTCTGTCTGTCTGCCTGCCTGTCTGTCTGTCTGTCTGCCTGCCTGTCTGCCTGTGTGTCTGTCTGTCTGTCTGCCTGTCTGTCTGTCTGTCTGTCTGCCTGCCTGTCTGTCTGCCTGCCTGTCTGTCTGTCTGTCTGTCTGTCTGCCTGTGTGTCTGTCTGTCTGTCTGCCTGCCTGTCTGTCTGTCTGTCTGTCTGTCTGTCTGTCTGTCTGTCTGTCTGCCTGCCTGTCTGTCTGCCTGCCTGTCTGTCTGTCTGTCTGTCTGTCTGCCTGTCTGTCCGTCTGTATACTAAGTAGGAAGTATAGGGCTGCTCAATTAATCGCACGATTATGGCTTGCAACGATTACGAAAACAACGTAATCGAAATAAAACGATTATTTTTTTATAATTACTTTTGTTTTTGTTATTTTAATTAAAAAAATGTGTATTGGTTTTTCAGTTGAATTATACTTAAAGTTCAGGGTAATCAACTTTTCTCCAATAAATGGATAAGCGTTTTTAATAATCGTGATATCAATTATTGACCCAAATAATCGAGATTATGATTTTTGCCATAATCGAGCAGCCCTAGTAGGAAGTATGTGTTACTCAAATAAATCCCCCACCACTCACCACCAGGTCAAACCAATGAAATTGATCTTATTTGGATCCTTTAAAATCAAATTAGTGCACCAACAATTGTAATTAAAGTCTCAATGCACTTTAAAAGTGAATGAAAGTAAAAATCATGTGTTAACAAGTCCCCCACCACTCCATGCCACCAAGTCTTTTTGATCTTTAATAAAAAGATGTATGCTTCTTAGTTAACATTAAGCTGTCTTTGGCTCTTTTCTGCTGTAACAAATGTAAATGTCCCCTTTGTGAGACTAATAAAGTTATCTGATTGTGATTCTGGTTCTTTAGTACGCACCACTCCATGCCCCCTCGGTTGATGTCGTCCCACCAGCAGTCACTGGGCTCCCCCAGGCCCTCGGGGGTCGCCTGGCACTCGAAGGACCACAGCCGGTCCATCCCATCGGCCTCGCTGTAGAAGCTCCTGAGGGCCACCAGCACCTCTCCGTGGGGACACTGGAAGTTGAAGCTCTGCCGAAACCCGTTGACCCAGCCCATGTCGTGGTGGTCCTGAGACTGAGAGGCCACTGAGACCAGCAGAGAGGAGACCAACAGCACCAGAGCAGGACTCATGTTGCAGGAATCAGATAATCAGTCGTTCTGCTGCTCTTCCCTCTCAGCTGCCTCGCTTTAAACTCCTCCAACTCTTTTGTTATCCAGATGTTTTGGTTACCAGGCGTATTGTGCAATTTGCTCCAAGAGTGGACGTCACTGGAGATTTTTAAGGTCGACTTTGAGACAGAGATTTAACGAAGTGAGTCGTGGATAAGGGTTTACCTTAAAACACAGCACTAGGCAATTTGGATATAGTTAACCATCTAATTACTTAAGTTTGCAGCGAGCACTCCAGTTTTTTTATGGATTTTTCCACTGTAAAAGATCGTTTTGGACAATAAACCTGTTTTGTTTTATCATAAAAAAACAAGTAAATAAGGTAGGATCCCCAAAAATCGAATATTGCTTTTTTACCACTGCATCATTGCCAACAAGAAGAGCAATCGCAAAAGTGCAGATATCCGCTAAGGTCGTTTCTGTCAGTTGGTTACCAGGCATAATGTGTCATTTGCTCCAAGAGCGGACCTCACTGCACATTTTTAAGGTCGACTCTGAGACAGAGCTTTAACAAAGTGAGTCGTGGATAAGGGTTTACCTTAAAACATAGCACTTTCCGATTATAGGCAATTTGGATATAGTTTGCAAATGTTAACCATCGAATTACTCTGACAATTAAGTTTGCAGCGAGCACTCTGGTTTTTTTAATGGATTTTTCCATTGTAAAGGGTTGTTTCGGACAATAAAACTGTTTTATTTTATCATAAAAAACAAGTAAATAAGATACAGTTCTAAACAATCAATATTTTATTGTGACAGTATCTTGTGAATATATAGATTTTTTTGTTTTACCAATGCATCATTGCCAACAAGAATAGCACGCAGATAAGTGCAGATATTTGCTAAAGTCGTTTCCCTAAGTAAATTATTTGTGATTCCACCCTGTGATCCAGGTCCACTCCAAATTGAACAAGGTTTTTCCATGCGGCAACATCTGGTTTTATCACTTAAAGGTGGGGTAGGTAATTGACTTCAGAAAAACTTTTTGTTATATTCCATGGAATGCTCTTACCCTCTTAAGCCCCACGGACCCGAGCTCGGGTCCGAAAATGCTATATATGTAGCAACAGTGCTATATCTGAAGTGTCATTCATGAAACTATTAATATTCCATACCCATCTGACCGGAGGAAACTTGGCTTAAAAAAAAATCGAAAAAGAAGTCTCACAAGAAGCCTCTAAATGACCCCATGTCAAAAACGGGCAATTGCTATGTCTGCTCATAACTCACAAAAACGATCATTTATAATTCATCCTTTCCGCACAAACAACACATTTTCTGAAAGCTGAGATTCCACAGATTCCATGGGTGTACACCCCATCACTACAGGCACAACATTAACCGAGCTGGCAGCCACAACATAGCAAGTAAACAATATCAGTTTTCAAATCCCTGACAATAATTAGGTCTTACCTTGGCTGTTTTGTGATCAAAAGTTGTGTTCAAAGGAATAAAAACGCTGCTCAGGGTTAATCCAATGTCTCTTGTCACTTTTACTTTACTGAGAATCAATCCTTTCATTCACGGCAGAAGAGTAGGTCCAACGATTAACAGTCCGTGGATTCAGCTGCGGGAGCTGCTTTTTACGCATAGCTACCCCCTCCGCAGGCATGACGTATTTACGTAATTTGAAACTGCTACTCGATTCGATTGGCTCTAACGATTCAAAAAAGGTGTCAATCACCCAAATCGACCAATGGGTTCCAGAGATAGGAGTTTGCGTAAGTATAAATAAAGGCAATAGAGCTGATTTACGCACGACCCAGTCTTTGTACGCTGCATACTAGGCTGTAGCGTAGCATAGCATGTCCCGCGGCGACAGGAGAGCAGAGAACGGCAGATCGATCAGCGAAACAGCAGGATTTGTTTTCTTTGTCTTCATTGTAGCAATGGCAGCCAGAAAGAAGACTTTTTTGTCCGTCGAGGAGGCATTGGACATCGTATTTCAGGACTCTCCGTCGGAAGATAGTGATCTCGTCACGCACGAAGGGGACAGTAATGACTCTGATTATCAACCTCCGTCACCGGAAAGGTAATCTCTCTGTTTGTATCTATTACTTATTTATTTGGTGTAAGAGTATTCATCTGTTTTTATCTTTTTGTTATTTATTTGGTGTAAGAGTGTATTCATCTAGTAATTTCACACACGTGACAATAACACGACGGCATCCATCTTGTGATATAATGTTCTTTCACACACTCAACAACAAAGAAGATGGATGCCGTTTCTTGTTCTTGTTGTTGAAAAATACAAGACATGTTGAATTTAACACGGTATTACATTTCATTTAGCTGACGCTTTTATCCAAAGTGACTTACAACTAAATATATATATATATATACACACGCATATATACATATACATATACATATATACATACATACATATATACATACATACACACATATATATATATATATATATATATATACATACACACATATATATATACACACATATATATGACAGACAGAATATTAATATTAAATATTGAACAGATTATATGAACCCCGTCTCACATAATTTACACGGTATACATTTTGAGTGATATAATGTTATTTCACACACTCAAAATTGATGTTCTGCTGTTGTTGTAGAGAAATTATTTCTGATTTGAGTTACATTTTTGAAAGTACAAGCCAGAGAATTAATCTATTTGTTTTTTCCACATTTGTTTTCACAGTGAGGAAGGCGATGAGGATATGGCTTCTGGATGCCCGAGTATTATGGGGAAGATGCCACCAAGGTCAGGAGGTGCTCTGATGCTGGCAACTGAAGAGTGAAGACACCTGTGTACTGCAGGAAGTGTCAGGTCCCTCTGTGCTTCACTACCAAACATAACTTTTACAGGGCATGGCATGACTTACTGGAGTAATACTGTAACATTCAGGGTTTGTATAAAGTTTTTTTTTTTACCCAAAAAATGCTTGTTGTATAGTGTGTTGCTAATTTTTTTTAATAAACACCACACACACACACCCACTTAATTATTTATTTATTTTTTAACAATAATTTTTTTATTGAATACCTATACCTATAGTGATAATTAAATGTTGTACAATGATTTTTACAGTCTGGTACCTGAAAAAGGTTAAATGGAACCAAATGTGCCCAAAGCTTAGTCCGCTTGGACTTTTTTTTGCTAAATCTCTCTAAAAAGGTCAATTCTCACTTGTTTTGCCTCAATCTTGATACAGGGTACTTATTATATGTTATACTTTGGATTCCTAAAGCTTTTAGGCTACTAACCCATCATTCAAGGGTGGTTTTCACTATAAGTAATGGGTTTTATTTGGGCGGAAACAAATGTACACTTTTTGACTATGTTCCATCTGGATTTACTCTGACACTGAAACATCTTTATTGATTATGACACTTCTACATCCAACTCACAGATGTGACCTTGCTTTGATAAAATAAATTATTCATATAACCCTTTTAGAAGTTAAGTTATAGTCCTTTGTTTTGGGCATGTCATTTTCGAGCCTGAAACCTGAAAAACAGGCTTGGGGCTTAAGAGGTTAACATCCCGATAGCAATGAATACATTAAATGCTTTGACAATAAACATATACAAATATTTTATCTGTGGAAGCCGTGGTGCTGTAGAAAGCACGACCAATCATCTGAGCCGGCTAAAGTAACTGGATGGCCTACCTGCCTGTCAGCCTTCCATCTGGGCACACACTTATCTCGTGCCCTCATTGGTCATGTGCGCGTTCGTGTGTGTTGGAGGAGGGGCTCTGTAAGGAAGTCTGAAGGAAGGGGCAGATTTTTTTCGGTTGTGTATTTTCAAATTCTAGCGCACTAGTGCTGGTTTCTCCATTCTTACCTACCCTACCTTTAAGTCAGTGTAGAAGTGCCTTAAACCTGCCTTACCTCTAATCTCCTGCAACTGTACTGATTCAGATGTATAGAAGTCTATGAGAAAATGGCCCTACTTCTCACGAGATTTATTATCACGGTAAACATTTTCCTACTGAGTTTAAGGTCTCAATCTATAATATTAAGTCTTCTTCAATACAGCAAAGTGTTTATTTAGTAAATGATGGTCCCATTTAGAGTAAAATTGACGATTTCGAGCGTATGATTTAGGACAGGGCTACCTTGTTATCGACAGGTTGCTAGCATGGGACGCTAGTTGTACGTCTTTGTCGTACAACTTTAACCCTTTAACAGTTTTTGTTTTGAGTACTTTGCTTCACGCTCTCGTAAAACTGCTAGTTGCAAAAAATACGACCCAAAACCGACATGGCTACGACCAAAACGTTAAGCTAAAAGCCTTAAAATTGTAGTCTACAAACGAATGGGTGACGTCACAGTGACAACGCCCACTTTTTGTATTCATGCTTTTGTTCTTGCATGCTACAACTCCTTTCAAGTTTCAGGAAAATACGGTTGGTAGTTTTTACTATAATCTATTGCCGACAGACTAACAAACTAGCAGACAAAACAAAACCATAACCTCTTAGGGGGAGGTAAAAATGAAGCCTATTCCACTGTGAAAAACAAACTTAGATAAATATGAGATTCATGCTTTAGTCGTTTTCAGTTTCGCTAAAGTTAAATAAGTTTGGCTAAGCTCCCCGTCTCCGTAAGTGCAGCACACAGTCTCAAACAATGCTAGTTTTGGAGATTTGTGAAGGCAGAAAGTGTTGAAAGAGAGATTGAATTTGTTCTCACACAAATAAATAATAACACCATGTTACCTAACATTTAAGATCATAAAAAAGACACGATATTTCCAAGTTAGAATAATGAGAACAACATATCGGATCTTCTATCACATCAGGACATCAGCTCTTAAAGTAAGCGAATACAAAGGTCAGAGAGGTCATGATACGTTGCTTTTTACCGACACCATCAGAGAAACATCCATTAAATACAATCATTCCCGTGGCTTATAACCGAAGCTGTTCTGCGCAGACCACTAAGTGCTGACATGACCCGTATATTCAGTA